AAATTATGTATCTTTAATATATTAAAAATGTATATGAAAATCTATGAATTTAAAATGCAGGAGGCCCTTTAAAACGCAAAAAGCCCTGTGTGGTCGCACACATTGAACAGCCCTTGCATCGGTTCTGGCACCAATTTACTATCCCATAATATCTAAAACAATTGTTTACAGTGAATTTCTGACATCTAATATTCAGCTATTTTTTACAGAAAATTTATCAGGAAATTCATACAGTGTTAAGGACACACATTTTTTCTTGATACCATACAGAATATCGGCTGATAATATATATATTTTTTTAATTCACTGTTATCAGTCACTACTGAGTATTTAACTGCACATGCTAGTTTTCCCTATTTTTACATTTTGATTACCTTTGCTGTTATCTAAAACTCTATTAATAATCTTGAGCAAATCTCAAAGTGAATATCCATTTTTCATACTGTACAATATAATGTTATGATGCCTAAAATCACTTAAAATGACTGATTCTAGCCTTTTGTTTTATTAAATCAAAATCAAAAAGTGTGTTGAATTTTAATTCATTTTAATATTGGTGCATCCCAAGTCTATTCTTGAAAATAAGGGTTCCAAAAGGGGGGGTTCACAGCAATGCCAAAGAACTACCATTTCCCCAAAGAAGCTTTCAGTGAATCATACAGTTCCCATATTTTGCAAGCATGCACAAATGAACAGGCAAAAAAACTAATAAATAAATAAAAATCAAGGATTCAAAAGTCTTGTCATACATTTTTTCCAACTTTTCCTTCCCTGCAGCTGTATTACAAGTTACATGACTAGAACCGGAAAGCATTTTCATAATCTAACCACACATTTACACACGTACACTTTGCCTTTCTTTTGAACTAAGATTATAGTGAATAAACATTTGCAATAAATGCCTTTCCCATAATGCACATGAGACCATACCTCCTGTTCGGGCAGTTGCAAGAGTTTATGTTACAGATTAAATTAAGTACTCACCAAATTGACATGTTTATATAAAAAAGCATGAAAACATGATCATACAACAATATGCACTAAAAGTGATTCAAATGCCACAGTGAATTAGTGTGCATAGTTTCATGTCAATTTTTTGAGCATAGCCTCTGCTTTTCAATGTCATTTCAGATGTTTGCATCAGAAATAACCGTGTTGTTTTGGTTGCCCTGTATCAACACTGATCATTAATTCAGTCGCTCTGTTGCATAACCATGGGCTGAGGGAGAAACAAGTGTAGGATGGAGAAAAAGAATAGAGAAACAGAAGGACAAGGGTAAACATCAAGCTCTTTACAGGTTTATAAAGCACACAGACACAGGAGAACATGAATAAACAACATCATGGACCCTCTATTAGTGGCACAAGCGAGACTTTTGACAAGTGTTTGCCTGTCAAGTGCAAAACAGTTTAATGTGTGTCACCCCTTTCCACTTCCCAGCAGAACTCACCATTCACTCAACATATTCAACAGCAATGAAACCAGAGACTGTACAGTATAAGGCAGAGACGGTCCCCTCATACATTTATGAATGGGACAAATGGTTATATTGTCTGAAGTCCTGTTTTCTAGTTGAAAGGGACAATAAAATTTTTGAGAGACACCACAGCGCTCAGTATGGTGGCTCACTAAGACTGCATTTATTTGATCAAAAATACCATAAAAAAGGTTATACTGTGAAATATGAATACATTTTTAACATTTAATAACTGTTATTTAAAAATATTGTGAAATGTATTTTATTCTTGCGATGACAAAGCTAATTTTCTTCATTGCCCCAGTATTCAGCATCACATGATCATTCAGAAATCATTCTAATATGCTGATTTGCTGCATTTCTATTTATTATCAATGTTGATGTTCTGCTGCTTAATATTTTTGTGGAAACCATGATGCATTTTTTTCAGGATTGTGGATAAATCGTTATTTCAAACTGAATTTTTTTGGTAATCATTGCTGAATGAAAGTGTTCATTTCTTTCTTAAAGGAAAGGAAAGGAAAGACTTTTGAATGGTACATTCGCTGGACGGGCCTGAAAAATATAGTTTATTTATGATTTAGGCTTAATAAACAATTTCTGATTCTAAGAATGCATCAATATTATCGATATAAGTCTGGACGATTACCAATAAGACAATTATTACAGACAGTTATGACAAATAACCAATAAAAGGCCAATAATACAATTCTAAACTATTTTGTCCAAATAAATAAAATAAATAAAGCACTAAAAACTAAAATCTTTCGTTTTTAAAAGAGATCATAATGTTCTAGTGGTTAAACGGATCATTGTTGATCCACGATCCGTACGGACCAAGCCCCACGGTTCGGCACGCATGTGATCCGCGGATTAATTGCAAAATTTAACCATAATAGAATAGGGCTGGACAATAATTCAATATCAATACATATCGCGATATAATTTTTTTCAATAACGATGATATGATTTTTAAACACATTTCCGATATTTCGATATACATTACCAGTTTCCCATACATTTATTTATTTGTGGCGTTTGACTTCGTTGAATAAACATGAGCACTGCATGTTTCAAAATCAAAACACGGTGTGGGTGTTTTATATGAATGTATCTCTGAAGGGACCCAACTGTCTTCAGAAAAGTTTCGATGGCATTTTCATTTGATCTGATAAAGTAGCATTCATGAGCGGAGCTGCTTTGATTACAGCCATTACTGGGGAAACCGCTAGTTTTATCACTCTAAAAGCGCCTCCTGCTGGCAGAGAATGAGTTTTCATTTTAATAAGCCCATCTCCAGCAACATTTCCAGTTTTTGTTGTTGTTTAATTTTTTTGTTTTCTGCAGCGACTCTGAGCACTTTTCATACCTTTTTTCTGGCTGAAGCACATTTGTTTCAATCTATGAGAATAATCAGCCTACACTACCAGTCAAAAGTTTTTGAACAGTAAGATTTTGAATGTTTTTTATTTATTTAATTTTTTTTAAGAATTGTCTTCTGGTATCGGTATCGGGCCCGATACTGAGCTCCTGTACTCGTACTCGTTAAAATGCCCCGATACCAAACACCGATACCACACAGCATGTGATACAGTGGGTACGGAAAGTATTCAGACCCCCTTACATTTTTCACTCTTTGTTATATTGCAGCCATTTGCTAAAATCATTTAAGTTAATTTTTTTTCCTCATTAATGTACACACAGCACCCCATATTGACAGAAAAACACAGAATTGTTGACATTTTTGCAGATTTATTAAAAAAGAAAAACTGAAATATCACATGGTCCTAAATATTCAGACCCTTTGCTGTGACACTCATATATTTAACTCAGGTGCTGTCCATTTCTTCTGATTTCTTCTTCTGTTGGACAGTACAGGCGTTGCGCGTGTTTTGTTTGCTTGAGTGTTTCTGCATTATATGAGTGGCTTTGGAAAATAAATCGCAGCACATTTCAGATAAAAAAACGCGACTTCCTTAATGGGCATAATTAAGTATGAAAATACAAAGGATATACAGTCAAACCAAAAATTATTCAGAGACCAGATACTAGTGGGTGCAGGACACTATAGTGCATTTATATAAGTGAGGATAGCAAAATAAAGTAAACTGTAAAATTTGGGACCAAAAATTATTCAGACCGAGTCTGGGGAAAAAAAAACTGAAGTTCAGGTTTGCATGAAGCTGGATGACAGCATGCCCAGGAGACTACAGGCTGTCATTAAGGCTAAAGGTTGCCTGACTAAGTATTGATAGTTGTGTAAATACTGTCATACTAATAGCAGTCTGAATAATTTTTGGTTGATTGTAATCCATTACATACCTTTCTATCAAAGTTATCTAACATTATCAAGCTGAATTTGTTCTGACACAGTTTAACTCTGAGTTCTTGTCATATTTTATTACCATTTTCTAAACTATAGCGAATAAACTGATAATGTGAGAAATGTTGAAGGTGTCTGAATAAATTTTGGTTTGACTGTATCTATTTGATAAATGAAGTTAACCAACTAACATTATACATACTCTTTTGGTTTCTGCGGCCAATATTGAAAAAATTTACAAATGCAATAAAAAGATTGGTATCGGTACTCGGTATCGGCAAGTACCAAAAGTAAAAGTATCGGTATCGGGCGAGTACTGGAAAAAGTGGTATCGGTGCATCCCTAATATAAATATACAGTATTGACTGATGCAATAAAATAATATATCTTATATCAGTATCAATATATTGTGTATCTCAAAATTTTATGTCAGATGTTATTCCCGATGTGAAATGTTATTGAAATATTTTGACAAACTGATGTCTTCTGACCTCTCCACTGATCAAAAAGATATGAGCAGCTGCATTTGCACTGCTGGAAATAGCTGCTGATACTGACTTTATATTAATATGTCATTCTTTTCTTTGATCCAAAATATAATATGAGAAAGACTTGTGGGCTAATGAAAAACATGAATGAAGAAAGCATCATTGCACAAGGACACAGATGTTTTAGAAAGAGTATCTCTACATCATTCACATCCTTTGGAGGTCACAGCTGTAATAGATGGCAATGGACTCGAGAGCCGGAATGGCCCATTAAAAGCCGGCCCTTGGGAGGTATGAAGTATCATATCCGTCTTAACTGTCACTGCCCTTATGTAGGGCGGACGTGATCCTATCTAACGAGTGCTTATGCTGGGATTCCTGATGTTCATGTTAACGCAGCTTGTTTTATGTTCGATCACCATCTGGCAGACCTGTAGAAATGCACATGCGGTTAAATGCACATGAATATAGTGCCTTATGATGGATCACAGCCCACATACTGTAGATGGCATGCATGCATGGGGTGATGTAAGAATTCTGCAAAAGTATCAAAGATTCATTGCAGATATCAAAGCAGAAACTGTGCTGCAGTTTCTGCAAACAGGAACTGGAAAAGATAAACCAAAAAGGGAGGGAAAGTAGAGGGAGGGTTTGCGCACTTGTGGGTATTATACAAAACACCCACATCATGGCAGTCTGTGGAGACTCAACCCACAGTACAGAAGAAGGAAAGATAGAGAGAGAAGAAACCAGAGAGATAATGCTTCTAATCTCATGTTCTCCATTAAAATACGAGCAGCCCCTGGGCACTTAATACAGCACATGTACAGCAAAAACCAAAACACACTGAGGGAAACATTGTGGTGAGTCACTACTCATTTTATATTTGTTTATATTGTGGGTTTTGGAGAATTTGAAATGTTGTTGTTGTTTTCATTCTTCAAAAAAAGTTACTATTATTTATTATTATTATTATTGCTGTTGCTATTATTATTTAATTTAATAGTGTAAAAAATTATTTAAGATATACTATCTGAAAACAAGTCTCTTAATATATAATTTTGCTTTAAGAAATGTTTGTTTATGCATCTAAGGATGTGAAATGTATGGTGTAAAATATTCTTACTGGAAAATAAGAAAAATACTGATTAAGAAAGATTTATTTGCAGTGTAGGACAGTTGTTCAAAATTATGTGTGTAATAATGTTTAATAATGCCTTATCATTGCCGATTAAATTAAATGAAAGCGAACTGAACTGCCATGCACGTGACAATATGATCATATGAGTGTTTTCATGGGGAAAATGAAGGAACAGTAACAGGACAAAATAGGTAAAAATGATTTTGTTTTTTAAATTAAAGGTTCTTTGTGAGGAACATGTACATGAATCTAATTTGCTGAGATGAAAACCTACAGAGACAAAAATCAAAACAATCATGCCACTGCTTGAAGCAAATGTGATCATAGTGACCACAGAGACTGCAAAGAATTATGTTTAAAAATGCATATTGCATAACAGACTTATTTTTGTCTCAGTTAACCATGTTACATATGCCATTTTCATCTCCTTACACCATCAACTGTTATTGTTAGGTAACCATTTATCATAAATGATGTTTTTACAGCACAAACTTGCCTGTTAAAACATGCATAAAGATGTCATGAACCAGTTATGAACCAAGTAAATATCATTTAACAATTAAAGTTAAAAGTCAGTGATGATGATCACCTGACATAAAAAAGATAAATAAGCATGTCTCATCCTGTCTCCTTGGTTTCAAAGAAACTGCAGACTGGGGGAAGGTAATGCTGTCTAAAGAGAATAACAATGAGTCTGCTACATGCCAAGACAAGTTCAGATAATACACAAGTACTTGAAGACATGTGGGAGCGCAGGATCTTTTTACTTTAAACCAGTTCATTTATTATAAGTCCTTGAGCTCAGAAAAGGAAGGGGAACAGATACATAGATTAACTGTCAGTGGTAAGGGTTTAACAGCACATCTGCACGGGCAAGTTTTAGAGAGTGGGTGTGTGAATGTGTGCTAAAATATGTGTTCATACACACACACACACACACACACATACACACAACTCCAGTCCTTCAATTAATGTTTTGTGAAGTGAAAAGCTGCATGTAAAAAACTGTTTACAAGTGAAAACAGTCCAAAGCAGTTTTAAACAAATATGTCTGTGGATTTTGATGTGAGTGGAGATTAACTTTTTCACTGGAGGAAGCATTATTATGGATTATATTTTGTCCAGAAGCAACAGTTCAAAGTTAAAACGCCTTGATGGATTTGATTTATACATAGGTTTTCCACCTTCAGCGAGGCAAAATAAGGGACACCCATTCAAAAAAAAAAAAAGAAACAAGGACACAAAAAATATTTTTTACAGTTCTGCAGCTGTTACCTGGATGGGATGAATTTCTATTTTTGTATTAATTATGAATACATTATTATGTAATTATTTGTTCCATTTTTATCTAAATAATTTAGCACTATTTTAAATGCCAAATTGTATATGAAAAATATGATGATTTATTATGTAGTATATTTATGATTAATATCAATGATAAATTAATAAATAGGGCCTAACATTAATTATAATCTATTAATTAATCTGTCTAATAATGTCTAAGAATATAATAATTATGTCTACCAAGCTCTGATAATGTATGGAATATTATATTAACAGACTATCCTAATTATAATAAAACAATAGGCCGATACCCTTAGAAGCATGGATGTGTCTGTCACTTTAAAGGTGGTTCACCCAAAAATAAAAGTTCTAAACCTGCATAAAGTTTTTTCTTCTGTTGAACACAAAAGAAGATAGACTACTTTGAAGAATGTGGGCAGACTATCCAAATTTTAATAAAACAATAGGTCGATACCTTTAAAATCATGGATGTGTCTGTCACTTGTGTCTGTCACTTTAAAGGTATGGTTCACCCAAAAATGAAAATTCTGTCATAATTTACTCAGGTTGTTCTAAACCTGCATAAAGTTCTTTCTTCTGTTGAACACAAAAGAAGATAGACTACTTTGAAGAATGTGGGTAACTAAACAGCGGCTGGTCCCCAGTAACTTCCATAGTAGGGAAAAAAATATACTATCGGAGTCATTGGGGACCAGAAAATGTTTGATTACCCACATTCTTCAAAATATCTTCTTTTATGTTCAACAGAAGAAAGAAATTGTTACAGGTTTGGAACAACTTGTGGGTGTGTAAACAATGACATAATTTTCTGGGTGAACTATCCCTTTAAGTCCACCGTGAGCAACTGAGATCAGAGGCGGGCAGTAACTAAGTACACTTACTTGAGTATTGTACTTAAGTACACTTTTTGAGTATCTGTACTTTACTTGAGTATAATGTTTTCTGGAAACTTATGCCTTTAACTTCATTACATTTGAAAGACAAATATTGTTCTTTTCACTCCACTACATTTCGATCAAGATCCTCGAAGTAGAAAGTCGTTAGCAGCTTTGAAAGTCAGTGGGTGATTTGTTTTCTTCTCTAAAACATGACTTTCTTTTTTCAGACAGTTTATCAGTAATCATTCTTGGGGCTACATGAAGTGATTTCCCAGCATTTTTTTTTTAGCACTGACCAGTTCCAAATGTGATATTTATTTACAACAATTCAATAATAAGAAGTTAATATTGTGGTTTATATTAGACACAATATTGTCTGATTTTATTACCTATAAAATATTACCTATAAAGCCACAGAAGAACTGTTGTACGTCTCCTAATAAAACGCAAAATGTGTTTGACTGAAGCAGCACTGCACAGACCGTTCTGTGTGTGACATCAAAGTACAGCGATTAGATAGCATTTTTTTATTTTTGTTTTGATGTCAAATAAGTCTTGCTGCTTTGCTTTTTTTTTGTTAAAGCAGTGTTGCTGTTGTAAAGTTATACAGCTACAGTTGTGATGCTGGGTTTTAAAGCAGGTTTGATTTTTTATTTTCTTCCTTATCAGTCTGTATTTACAGCAATTTCACTCTTTATTTACAGCAATTTTCACTCTCAATTTCACCGTCCACTCTGTTCAAATGTGGATGAATGGCTACACATAGATGTGTCCAGAGCTGTGTGAGATCACTACCATCCTGCTTTTGTGGGGGTGTAGGGGTGTTAAATAATAATTATATATTTTTTGTTTTGTTTTTTCCCCATAGGTTTTTAACATTCTAAAAGCTCTTTATTCCAAAGGTACTACAAGCTAGTCAGTGTATTCAGTAGGTGTACTGTATTGTAAGTTGTTTTAGAGGTATTGCAAGTATTACATACAACAATAATAAAACAGTGCATTGACATAAATAAGGAAATTTACTTTTGGTAAAGTACTTTTAAAAGCAAGTACTTCTGTACTTTTACTTAAGTAAAAATCTGTCTTTACAACTTTTACTTTTAATGGAGTAATATTTGACCAGCAGTATCTGTACTTTCACTCAAGTAATGTAGTTGTGTACTTTGTCCGTCTCTGACTGAGATCTAGTTCTAAAATGAGAACTTCTCTGCAAACTGCATGTTCATCATTAGTTACTGGACAGACACGTTGATAACTTTCCCATTCAGCCCTACATCTGGAGAGCCTCTTGTGTTCAAACGTGAGGCACACATGCTGCGTTCTGTGTCAAAGAGCCTTAACGGCGCGCGTTCTGGAGACTCCATCGCTATGGAAACAAAAACGCCAAAATGCAATCACGCGCAAATGAGCTTCTCTAATACTTCTTATGAAATTTATTTAATTATAATTGCTATTAGTATTATCCACCCTGCAAAATCCTTGGCCTTTGTAAAATACGGGACAAATCGCACAATTTTACCTTTAAATAAGGGACGATTCCGTATTTTAGGGGACGGCTGGCAACCCTATTTGTACACGTAGCTTTTCACTTCAGAACATGTTAATAAGTGTGTGGGTTATTTCTGGATTATTGTGATGCTTTTATCTGCTGTTTGGACTCTCATTCTGATGGCACCCATTCACTGCAGAGGATCCATTGATGAGAAAGTGATGTAATGTGATGAGGCAGTAGTGGCCTATGGTTAGAAAGTCAGACTTTTAACTAGGGCTGTGCATTATGGACAAAAAAAAATCGCGATTTCTTTGATAAATTTTGCGATTTTAGTCACGATTTTGACACACAGACATGCTTTACAGTCATTAATGCATTCAGTGTGAATTTGAAACATATTTCCAAAAGAAAACCAATTAGAGCTTTATCAAAAAGCTGTAACATGTCTCTAGAACAGACATAAGGCAAAAAAATCACT